TGTGTGTGTGTGTGTGTGTGTGTGTGTGTGTGTGTGTGTGTGTGTGTCACACAGAACATCAAAATAATGAGAAACGTCATTACATAGTGGGAATGATCATGTTTTTCTTTACTACTGAATAATTTTGAAAACGAGAAAAAATCATGATGGTCCAGTGATAAAGTAGCCACCACCACTTTTAGGGAACCTAAAAGTGTGTATAGAAAAATCCCTGGCCCAGGTTTATTACCTCCTCCTGATTCAGCCCACAGATGTTCGCTGAATGTCTTCTTTAAGTGCCTACTTTTCTTCCGATTTTGAAAGCTTATTACCACCAATTAGCATTGTTGTACTTCACAATGTCAGCGTGACATTTGAAAATCTGGGTTTGGAGAAGGAAATACCGAATGTCTCCATGTGGACACCTGGCCCGGAGAGCTGGACAGATCACAGCCCCGCAGCCCCTTTGAGGAAGGCACCTTGCTCCTTCTCATACTAAGCTTTAATTCAGCATCCGCCACTGGGGCTCATATTGTACATGCTGATACAACTAAACTGTTTCTGTTAAATATACTTACTTTGTAGCCATTTTAGATGTACTGGTGTTTAATTTTGTTTTCACTTCTTGAGAAGTAACTTAACTCTAAGTGTTTATGATTAGCTAGAGTTTTTATGTTCCACTTCCCGCCCCATTTCTGTTCTTCATCTGTTGTGCCTCACCTGTTTTCCTGTCCTCCCAGGATAGCCTTCTGTTTGAGAGGTAGGTCTTTGCTTCCGTCTGATGAAGACCTAAAGAAACAATGTGCTGGGGCGCCTGGGTGGCTCAGTTGGTTAAGCAGCTGCCTTCGGCTCAGGTCAGGTCATGGTCTCATAGTTCGTGAGTTCAAGCCCCATGTCAGGCGCTCTGCTGTCTGCGCAGAGCCTGCCTCAGATCCTGTGCCCCTCCCCTGCTCTCTCGCTCTCTGTCTCAAAAATAAATAAATAAGTAAACTTAAAGAAAGAAAGAAAGAAAGAAAGAAAGAAAGAAAGAAAGAAAGAAA